AAATCTCTGGACTATCATTCATGTTTGTTAAGAAAATTAGTTGTTCCACAAATTTTAATTGAGCTGCTAATACGTACTGTTTGAAACTGATGAACAAAATAAACTCACCGCCTACTTCTATGCAGTTTGCATTATAGTTAATCTCTCAGGAAAAAAGTAGAAATCTTAATTATAACCACATTTAAATCATTTGATGCCCTTAAATCAAGTGAAAGGATAATATCATGTGATTATAAACTCTGTTAAGGTCAAGAGCCTTGTTTGAACTTTTGTTGTTATCTAAAGCATATAAACATAGTAGTTACATAGCAGGCATTCAAGAAATATTTGTTAAATGAATAAATATCTCCAGGTGCTAAATTGTTTTGAATGAGTTTTTAAAAAATCTTCACCTGAGAATATGCTTACTGATTTTAGAGAGAAAGGAAGAGAGAGGGAGAGGGAGGGGGAGGGAGGGAGGGAGGAAGGGGGAGAACGAGAGCGAGACATTAATTGGTTGCCTCTCCTGCATACCCAGACTATGGATCAAACCTGTGACCTTTTATTGTATGGGATGATGCTGCAACCAACTGAGTCACCCAGCCAGGGCATGAACAATATTTTACATTATAATCTGCTCTACAAATGAGGATTTTTTAAATTATGGTTTAACTACATAATGACTTAATGGTCAACCTACTTAAAATATTGTCAATTTGGATGATGGATAAAACATCTGCTGTAATAATTTCACTGACCAAATGTTCAAAGGTCAGTTAATTGGAGTCTATTTTTTCAGATATAATCCTTAGACTGGTATTTTGTTAACAGTGTTTGATTTTTAATGATTAAAAGTTGGTTTATTATCCCTTAAGTAACTCAGTATCCCTTAGGATACTCAGTCTTTTAACACAATATAAAACAATCTTAGGAACATATAATAATACAAAACATATTGAAAAATCCACTGTTCCCTTAAAAATATTCTACAAAGTCATCATCCATTAAACATAATACCAAACATTTCAAAACAGTTTTGTTAACTGTATTTTGTTATTCATGTCTAAGTTTTCCCTAACAAGTTATTAATTAGATAGACAAAAAGTGTAGACTGCCCATGGTTACAATCCCTTTCAGGTTACAGCAAGCAAATTTAAGTCAGACGGTGGTGTTATAGCACCACTCTGTTTTCCTTTGGATCACTACTATGCACACCACATTCTCTGTTTATATATGCTATGTTTCTGGCTCAAGAAAAAAAAAAAAGAGTTAACTGAAGGCAATTTAATATCACAGATGCTGCTCTGTTCTGCACTTGTGCGTGTACTCACCCAAAAGATTCTGGACGGGGATGTCTTCTCTGACTTTTCCCTTTACTGCCAGCCTCTTCAACCTAAGTGGTCTCCTTCCCACACTTTTCCCTTACTCCCTCCAACACAATCTCAGATAGCTTTTGCCTAAGAATTTTATGATCATATTCAAATGATTTTGGATTGTTTTCCAAGCTTGAGAGATGATGTAGGAATGCAGACACCATTTATATTGGACATCTGTCTTTCACTGCAGTCATATCTTTTTAGTAGAAATTTTGTTTCATGGAGAAACCAACATAACAATGGAAAACAAAACCTAGAAATGAAATAGGAAAACCCTTCCAGAACAAAACAGATTTACAAATGCTGCAAATTTTTGTTGAGCAAGTTTCAAAAGAAACTTTTGTAGCCTTGAAAGGCTGGGAAATAAATAAAGTCAGTCTATCGAACATAGTCGGTTTACATATACATGGGCTAGTGTGTAAAATTTTAGGGAGGAAAAGGCAAAAATGAACAGAAGAAAATGGCAGTGGAGAAATATTTCTACATGCATCCAGTTGTCTTTGTTCCCCTCCAAAATGTCACGTATGTTAGTACGGACCCGAGTAAAGTAGTTACTTTTTGTGAGTTGAGTTTTTATGAAGAATATTTTTTGAAATGTACTCTTCTTGAAATGTACTTCTCCTTAGAAATAATTCTTGTATTGGCCTGGATGTTTCTCCTGTCTCGCCTTCTTTCTCAGCATATATTTATTCAGTATGTTCAATGACTTCTCCACCTTTTAAGTACATGCTCTGAAATTTGGAATGTTTATACCACTCAGTTGCAATTTGCTCTCATGTACTTTGGTACAAATCTACCTGCAAATCCAAATGATGTGGTAAAATACTTATAATTGAAAATGAATCTGACATTTCGTTTGGTGGTAAGCATTTACTCTTTATTCCTGGCAGTTTGTATCTTCTTTATTTTTTCTTCCTCATTGCACATGTTGATCTTCTTGAAAAATGAATGTTTGCCAAATCTAGTCTGAATTGGAAGGGAAGGTAGTGGGGGTGGGTGTATACTAAAAATTCTGACCAAGATTATTAACATTAATGACTGATTTCCAATATAGAGGTAGGCTATGTGCCTGGTTAAGCAATTAAATTACAGTTCTACTGGTTGATATTATACATCATGCTTTGGGAGTTTTTGAGACTTGTGACACCTAGACTCATTTTTATTTTTCACTGGTATCTTAAGGAAACAAGCAGCCCACATGAAGGATGCTAAGAGTGGATCCTTACTCTAGTGTGGCCAGTTTTTACTTGTAGCTCTGTGCTGTGTTCTAGAGACATGAGTAAATTTATAACCTTGATAAGTTATTTTAAAGTGTAGAGGAAAAACGTTGTGTATTTTATCTGGGATGTGTTTTATAAGTGCAGAGGAGAAACTTTTTGTCTCAAAGTGCTTGATTTGAATTTGCACAAATGACCAAAAAAAATTCTTCATTTGGTTTGGATATGAAAGAAGCAATTTCAAGAATTTTAATGGTTTAAACCATTTCTTCTTGAAATGATATTTCTTCCCTTCCAAAATGTCCTGCTATTCACGTGATATCAATTTTATAAAGGTGCTCTGTTTGTGTCACTATTTGGCTCTACTACTATGGCATCCTACATGGCTATTAATAAAGAGTTTTCAGTGAGGCAAATATTAAACGGCACCATCAAGTTTTAGTGCAGTTAGTTTGTGTAAGAAAAAATGACGTGTACAATAAGATTCTGCAAGCCTTTTCAGTATCTTGCTTTTACCAATAAACTGAAGATTTGTGAGAAATATGGCTTTGATTTAGGCACACACAGGAAATATTTTAAAAGATATTAAACAAGAAACCGGGTGCTTCAAGGCAGAGTAAAGGAAAAACATTAAAATTTCATAATCGTTCTAGAATTTACTTGATAAATCTACACTGGTATCAGAGTACTGTTCCAGACAATGAAAGCACTGTGAGCCCTAAGGTTAAGCAAGAGCTTGTAAGGAGAATTATAGCTGCACAAAAACATTGTAGACTTCCAAATTTTAAAGGCATTAAACATTAAGGATAAACACATACTTTGCTCATTTCCTCGGATTAAGTATGGCATTTTAAAAAGGTGTGCACTTTCCCCATTATACCCATCAAATTTAAAAAGGCAAATTTCAATCTGTATGTAGTGATGAAGAATATTTGACTTGTGTCTATTCACATGGGTTAAAACAAATCAAAGTACTAAGTAAAATTAATGAGAAGTACTACTTAATTTTTAAGTCTGTTTGCATTTCAACTAAAAGGACTTGAAAGTTAAGAATTATGACACTACATCTTAGGGTGTTTGTATTTCAACTGTACTGACTTAATAAGAGAAACATGAATATACTTTCTGCTTAAATTTTTGATATTTAAAGACCATTAAACCTAGGCTTTCTAATTACCATTATTAAATTATTATAACCACTGCTTTGATACCTAAAATATAATTACTGGTGATTAATTTTCTACTGTATTTTATTTTAAAAAGATCTGGCTGTAATTATAAAACACCAAATTAATCTCAATTTACAACTCCTCCTCTTTTTTTAAGAAGTAAACTTTAATAACTTATAAAAGCCAGAAGTAAACTCAAATATAGAACTGAGACATATCATGTTAATTTAGCCACAACCTGAGACTTAATATAGAAGTGTATTAAATATGTACTATTAAAAGAAAGATCTAAAAGAGTACTATATAAAATTAGTTGCAAAATTTTCAATCTGCTGCTTGAAAATTGGCTTTTTCCCCCTGTAGAATTTATATGCCCCATTCATCACTGTTCTGTGTTAGATGTGTGGCTATAAAATTGCGAAAATGGAGGCTTTTCTGGTAGCAAAAGGGTTAAGTTCTTTTTGCTTTACCAGTTTCAAATTACAATGAGAAGCCTCTTCTTTCCCAGCAGGGTTGTGCTTACATTACTCTTTAGATCTCCCTTGAAGAGGGCTGGTATATTTGTGCCTGTTGGAGGTGGAATTAACAGTAAGAAGGAGAAAGGGATTGAATGGACTTACAGGAAGGTTTTCAAGTAAATACAGGGAAACACATTTACTTGAATAGTACAACCTTGAGTCGTATTTTACACTAAGACGACACAAAAGATGTTAAAGTTATCACCAAGCTGCCGGACAAATATATATTCCAACACCAAGGTGCAGATCAGCATAGATCTGTGATTCAGAAATCAGGATTTGTCTTGGAAAGAGCTTCAGGGTTGAGAAGAACTCAAGAGCAAGTGAAGATAACTCTGGGAACTACAGCTTATCAGAAGATCAACTTTCATTAATTCAAATACCAAAGGCTTGATTATCATAAATTCATATAGGAATGCCTAGGTCATCTGATCAAATAATATTAACCATCTTCTGCTACATCAATGCAGCAAAAATTCTTAACAACTGTGGATAATTGGAAATTTGAGTTTCAGCTTTCTTAGAAATAACTACTCTTGACATTTTCCAAAATACTTCAAATAGGACAGGAAAAATCAGTGAGGATGTTGTGTTCAGAAATGTCACTGTCATGAAGAATAGGTAAATTTGTTTTTTCTGCTACTGGGAAATTGTACCTCCTAAGAACTTAGTGTTTTTTTTTTTTTTTTTTTTAAAGAGGACAAGAAGGACTAAAAACATCAACTTTGCTTCTGGACAAAAATGCCTCTGACTGTATTTTTATTTAGGGGTATTGTGGGCTTTCTCTGGAGCTGCTGGGTTCTACTGGGTTATGCAAAAGGAGGTTTGGGAGACAATCATGTTCACTCCAGTTTTATTTATAGAAGACTACGGAACCATGAAAGACGGGAAATACAGAGGGAAATTCTCTCTATCTTGGGTTTGCCTCACAGACCCAGACCATTTTCACCTGGAAAACAAGCTTCCTCTGCACCTCTCTTTATGCTGGACCTATACAATGCTATGGCCAGTGAAGAAAATCCTGAAGAGTCAGAATACTCAGTGAGGGCATCCCTGGCAGGAGAGACCAGAGGAGCAAGAAAGGGATACCCAGCCTCTCCCAATGGGTATCCTCGTCGCATACAGTCATCTCGAACGACTCCCCTGACCACCCAGAGCCCTCCTCTCGCCAGCCTACAGGACACCAACTTTCTGAATGATGCTGACATGGTCATGAGCTTTGTCAACTTAGGTATGTTGTTCGTTTATTTGTTAATCTGTGTTATTACAAAGTGGAAGTTTTTCTAATGGTAAAGTAGCTGCCTGCTAGGTGGTCATGTTTATATAAAGTCATTTTCTATAACTCCCCTCTCCAGCTTCTGTTTCCTTTCTTTCATTGAGGCAATGTAAGATTTTTGCCTTAGGCAACAAAATCATATAGAAATATAAATATGTATATATTTATATTTAATATCAAAAGCTAAACTTAAGCATTTATAGTTGGGGTGGATTTGGGTCTTTTCAGATCTTGTTAAAATATTAACCTTGCTTAATGTATAAATGTATGAATGGACAGGCAATAGTCTTTAAAAAAAGGAGAATTTACGAGGATAGCTATGCTAGGGGCACAAATAATAATAAAAATATTTTCGAAAAGCATTTATAGATGGAAAAGTAAAAGTGACATTCTGAACTATTTTTTCGTTAGTAACTTAGGAAACATATAAGTATATATTTATAGGCTACTTAAAAGCCCTCACTCAGGGGAGGTGACTACTGCAGAAATACTGACATGAAATTAATGAAGATCAAGTAATATTGTAAAAGATGATTATCAAATAGCTTTAGGGAGAGATTCTGAAATTCTCTGAAAAAATATTTTAGAAATGAAGTTTCAATCTGACATTTCCTAATTTAAGTGATTAAAATATACCATATCTATGTGATTTTTTTCAGAAGCAAGAGAACTGTAAATCATGCTATGATGTCTTTACCTATACAAAATTTCTTTTTATTTGAGATAAAAATTAATTGAAATTCTTTAATTAATAATATTATTATAGGGTAATTTTTACAATTATGTTTTACTCATTGCTAATACTTTCATGGCAGTTTTTAAGGATTGGCAATATCAAATAGTAAATTAATGCCTTATGTTTCATCTTGCATTGATATTAAAGAGTTTTCCAATTTAAAATTTTACAAGTGCTATAATTTTCTTTAAATGTTTTAATAGATGATGCAGGTGAAAATTTGCTATTTTCAGACATTCAAAATAATAATATAGAATATATTTATTTTTGAAGACTAAAATGTTATCAACAAATTTAATCAACTTGAAAGAACTGACTTTTTAATAAAAGAACTTCTAAAACTTTGTTTTAAAAATGCAATCTGCTTTGACTTAAAATTGACATTTGATTATATACTTAATTAAAAACTTCCTCACATATCTCAAAAATATTCTTTGAAAAGTCAGATAGCAGCAACTCCTAATAACACATGATGCTTTTATAATATATGTTGCTTAATGTGCTCTGCTCATTTGCTCTCAGCAGTCCTAGCATGAAGGATAAGGTGCATAATAAATCACATATTTCATGTTACTAGAGACAAAGCTCTCATTATTAAGTTTTAATAAGTCATCACTGGTTGCCCTAATTAGGTGTCCTGGACACCTTTTTTTCAACATGTAATTAACAGGTTTCATTTGGAACTTTTAAGCCATTAAAATATAGCTTAATTCTAAATTAGTTTGATTGTTTTTCCTCCAATAAGTAGCATGCAAATGTGGCTTATATTTTTACTTTGTATCAATTTCTAAAGTATATTAAATTATTTAAATAAATTTCAATAATTTTAACAAATATTTCAGTCTAGCATGATTTACATATTTGCAGAATAAATCACTGAAAAAATCAGTTCAGGACATAAAATCTGCCATAGGAAAATGTATTTTATTATATACTTTAAAACACAATAGCTCATTCATGAATCTGTTCTAATATATTTTATTATATTTGAATATTTTGATCATTTAAGAAAGAAGTGTATTTGTTTTTTAGAAAGGAATTAAGTATAATTTTTAAACCTGTATGCCATTACTTTCTATGAATGTACACGGAATAAGAAAACCAAAAACAATAATAAAGGGTTTTATTCAGTGACTTCTGGAACCAATTTTATTATTTAAGAATGAGTATATTTTTAAAATCAATGAAATTTTTGTTATATTGTTTGGCTTAAAATGACAAGTTAGTTCATTAACTATATCATGAAATATAATTATTCATTTTTCTCTAGAGAAACAATTGAATATAAACTTCAGAAAATTTTTTAAATTTATTTTTATTATGCTTGAACTGCTATGTAATGATTTAACCTCAATAATAAACCATGTTGGTGTTTTAAATTTAATGCTCCAACCTAAATATTTCACATTACCTTACTGATAAATTGATTCTGATACTGAGTTTCTCTAGTAGTCTCTAAGGAGGAGTGAACCACAATTTTGTTTTATTATCCTCAGACAATGCCTTCTAATATATCCAACACTTGCAACCTATAATTACTTAGTAAAAAGTTTCTCTGTATTTCTTCCATAGTAAAATAGGTCAAAGCATACTTACAAAAGGTAACACTGTAATATCATCATTAACTGCACTAAGAATTTTGAGTGTGCTTATGTAACATTCAATAGCAAATATTATCTGCAACCTTTTCATGTTCTCATAAAACTCAAGAGAAATTTATTTTATTTTTTAGTATCTTAAAAGATATGCATATGATGGGGACTAAGGGCAAATGATCAAATTAGCAATGGGCAAGGAATTTGTATTGAGGAAGTCACCTGGATATTTAAATATGTGGAAAGTATCTGTTGACATTTCCCATAAGAAGATAAATGATATAAAAGGGACCTAGTGACACCCTTTTTATTAATGCATGCATGTGTCATTTCAAGTCAAATAATAGATTTTCTATAATACTTGTCATTCAGAAAGATATTTTTTCCAGTGTAAGCTTTGCTCAAGAGCAATCAAACTTAATTTTATTTAACTCTGAATTCTATTTAACAAAATATCTATTTTTTTAAATTTCACATGAGGATAATTGTTTTGTCTATAAGTGAAAAACAGTTTAGGATTCACTAAATAAAAAAATAAAGTGTAAATAAATTGTGTTAGGGTCAATAAAAACAACTGTGAAAACTAAACACTTTATTTTGATCTTTAATTTTTTTTGTGATTTATTTTGAAGAAACAAATACTAATTATAATTGTGTGAAGAGAAACTTTCTACTCCATTATTCTTAGACCAACTTTCGTCACTTTCAGAGAATCTAGCTTTTACAGGTTGAATTCTTTGATTTGTCCTGAAAACTATTGAGTATCAGTGGGATTTTGTCTTAGTTAATGATACAATATTTTGTTAGAAACAAGAATATTTATAAAAAATTTGTTCTTTTTTAGCCATCTTTTTAAAAAAATATTGAGTTCTATATACCTATGCATATAAAATGAATAACTAGGTAATTTGCTTCCAAAACTTAAGCATATCTCCTGTTTATATAAACATAAACATGTAGTGCATGTCTAAGATCTTTTGGTTAGAAACCAATATTTGATTACTTGTTGAAAGTATAATTAAAATGACAAAATGGTTTAGAGGAATTACAAAAAAAACAGTAAATACAGGAAATTTATGTTCACATTATACTTAGCCTACATATAATTTTCTGATAATGAAGAGCTTTGGGTTAATTAATGATTTTTGACTTGCTGAAATACTTCTTAGATTATATTTCAAGAATATATATTAACTCTCAAACAGAAAAATATATAAATATAGTATTTAAATTTATTAATTTTATATATATATTTATATATTATTTAGCATGCTAAGATATGAAATAGAAAAAACTGCTTTCAGAACTTTAAATTAGACCCTTCTCATCTTACTTCCTCAAATCATTAAACTCTTCTGGTACTAGAAGAAAAAAAAAATCTTATGTACTTGACTGAAAGATTCGAAAGACATCATTGATATTTATAGTTGTTTTTGGCTGATTCAAGTGCTCAGTGGAGGGGAATTTATATACAGATCTACCTAAAGATGCCTATCTATGTAATCTCTCCAACAGGGTTATTAACACTCATGTAACATAAACATACCCATAAACACATGCAAGATTTTTTTTTTTTAAGGGAGGAGAAATGAGATGAGAGGAAAGATGATCTAAATCCATTATTGTACCTATTCGTGGATTATGTCTGGAATCACAAATGCTAATATTGGGCAAAAATATCATTCTTGAAAACTCTTAACTTTTTTATTGAATTTATTGTGGTGACATTGGTTAGGGGAGTAAAACTCTTAACTTCTGAAAAGAGATGTTGCTGTGGATGGAGAGCTTTTTCTCTCTTCTTCAGCAACCCTTTGCATTCATAAATGTGACCAAAGGGGTCCTTCTTTCCCTGCAAAGCTATTTTCTTGCTCAATGATGGGCATGGCTGCAGAGATACTTATCATTATCATTTAAGTAAAAGTTATTTTGAAAGCTTTAATGGTCACTTACAAATAGCCAATTTTAAAAGTTTAGTAAGTTAAGAGCTGGAAATAGGAAGGTCTGATAACACCCTCTAGGAAGGCTGGGGACTGCCTCACCCACCACCTCCGATTTCTACCCTGTCATTCTTCCATTTTCTAAAATATCTGCCTCCCTCTCTCCTTTCCCTTTGCCCCTCTCTCCCTTTTTTGGCCTTTCCTCTTTAGTTCTGTGGTCTCCCCTGCCTCCGGCTCTCTGGCACCCTTTTTCTTACTGCCCTCACCCTTCCTGGGGTCTGCCTTTGGTCCTGGTTTCTTCATAGCCGGAGGCTTAGATTAGCTGAAAATCAATTAGTTCCAGCGGGATCATTTAGGTACAGTGTCCTTTTTTCTCTTTAGTTGAGGAGGAAAAGGTTATGATGTGCCAATTACAGCCTCCACCCATGGGGAGAAAAGCTCCCCAGGGCACCAGGACTGCTCTGGCGGTTGCCATCCCTTGCAATTGTTGCCGGTACCCTCCCATTCTTCTTTGCCTCCTCACCTCTCCCTGATGCTCCCACTGACAGAATTTAATTGTTTTTGCCTTTACTATTTTATAACATACATTAAAATTGAAAAGAGGAACCTTAAGGGAAAGTAAAAAGAAAAGGGAAAAATAAAACATTGAACAAAAATCACAAAACAAAAACTCTAATCCAAAATCGG